CATCCTTGATCCCATCTTTATTCATCTATTCATCGCTATATCTATTCATTAATTTGTCTTGGTTGTGGTGCATTTCGAAGTAAATTGTAGACATCAGTCACATTTCACCCTAAATACTTTTCTTGTAATGTCTTTATCTGGTTTTGGTATCAGGGTAATGCCGGACTCACAAAATAAGTTCGATAGTGTTTCCTACTGTTTTTTTTTAAAAAACAGCTTCATTGTGATATATTTTACATGCCATGAACTTCACCCATTGTATATGTACAGTTGAATGATTTTTAGTCAATTTATACATTTGTGTAATCATCACCACAATCCAAATTTAGAACACATTTTTATCACCCCCAAAAGTTCTCTCATGCATTTTTACAGTCAGCCCCTCTCCCATCCCCAGCCCCAGACAACCACAGATCTGCTTTCCGCATCTAGAGATTTCCCTTTCTAGAAATTTCCTGTAAGTGGAATCATACAATATATCATCTTTTGTGTGACTTCATTCACTTAAGCTAAAAGCACTTGAAATTCATCCATGTGGTAGCATGAATCAAAAGTTTGTTCCTTTGTATATCAATTACATTGCAACAAAGCTGGAAAAAAATTTGTTCCTGTTTATTGCTGAATGATATTTTCTTATATGGATATACCAAAGTTTATCAATTCAACATTTCAATAGACATTTGGGTAGTTTCCAGCTTTTGGCTATTATGAATTATGCTACTATGATCATTTGTGTACAAGCCTTTGTGTGGACATATGTGTCTATTTCTCTTGGCCAGGTAACTAGAAGTAGAATTTCTGGGGTTTGTGGTCAGTATATATTCAACTTTTTAAGAAACTGCCAAACCATTATCCAAAATGGCTGTACAATTTTACATTGCCACTAGCAATATATTCAGGTTCCATTTTCACCACATCTTCCTAAAACTTGGTATTATCTGTCTTTCAGGCTAAAGTCACTCTACCGGATATGTAATGGTATCTCATTGTGGTTTTGATTTTCATTTCCTTAGTGACTAATGATGTTTAGCATCTTTCATGCGCTTTTTCTCCATTCATATCTTTTTTAATGAAATGTCTATTAAAATATTTTGCCCATTTTTAATTGGTTATTTGTCATTTTTATTTAGTTGTTGAGTTCTTTGCACACTGCGTGTAAGTTCTTTATCAGGTATATGATTTGTAAATATTTTCTTTCAGTGTGTGGCTTGTCTTTTCATTTTCATAATTGTGCCTTTTGAAAGCCAAAAGTTTTTAATTTTTATGAAATCCATTTTATGAATTGTGCTTTGATGTCATATCTAAGAAATCTTTGCCTAAGCCAAGGTCACAAAGATTTTCTTCTATTGTTTTCCCTAGATCTTTTATAGTTCTAGGTCTTATGTTTAGGTCTATGATCCATTTGAAATTTATTTTGTGTATAGTGTGAAGTAATTGTGTAAATTCACGTTTTTGCACATGGATATCCAACAGTCCCAGCACCACTTGTTGAAAAGATTATCCTTTCCCCCATTTACTTGTCGTGGCATCTTTGTCAAAAATCAATTGACCATAAATTTAACTGTTTCTTTCTGGACTATTCTCTTCCTTTGATCTATACGTTTATCCTTTTTCCACACCATATACTTGTGATTATTATAGTTTCACAGCAAGTTTTGAAATCAGGTAGTATAAGTTCTTCAATTTTTTCTCTTTCAATATTGTTTTGGTTATTTGTAATCCCCTTGCTTTTCCATATACATTTTCGGATCCACTTCTGGCTTTCTTTAAGGAAAAAAAAGGAGGCTGTGGAATTTTGATAGGAACTGCGTTGAATCAGGAGATGAATCTGGGGATAATTTCCGTTTTAACAATAGTGAGACTTCCAATCCATGAATGTAGAGTGTCTCTCCATTTATTTAGATTTTCTTTAATTCCTCTCAGCAATGTTTTGTAGTCTTATGTGTTTAGGCCTTATTCTTTTTGATGCCATTGTGAATGGAATTGTTGTCTCAATTCCATTTTTGGATTGTTTGTTGCTAGTTTATAGAAATACAATTGATTTTTGCATATTTACTTTGTATCTTGAGACCTCTTTTCCAGGAGGTTTTTAAAAAACATTTCTCAGGATTTTCTACGTACAGGATCATATCATTTTACCTCTTCTTTTGCAATCTGAATGCCTTTGTTTTTCTCGCGTCATTGCGCTAATCGCACATCCAACAGTACAGAGTTGTGTGGAAGTGGTGAGAGCAGACATCCTTGCCTTGTTTCTGATCTTAGTGGGGAAAGCGTTTAGTCTTTCACCCTTAAGTGTGATGTTAGCTGTAGGGTTTTCACAGGGGCTGTATTCGTTTGCTAGGGCTGCCATAACAAGGTACCCCAGTCTGTGGCTTAAACACCAGAAATTTATTTACTCACAGTTCTGGAGGCTAGAAAGCCAAGATCAAGGTGTCAGCAGGGTTGGTTTCTTCTGAGGTTCTCTCCTAGGCTTACAGATGGCTGTCTTCTGTGTCTTCCCATGCTCTTCCCTCTGTGAGTATGTGTGTCCTAACTTCCTCTTCTTATAAGGGCACCAGTCATATTGGGTTAGGGCCCACCCCAATGACCTCCTTTAATCTTAATTATCTATTTAAAGATTTTATTTTTTTCCTTTTTCTCCCCAAAGTCCCCCAGTACATAGTGTATATTCTTAGTTGTGGGTCCTTCTAGTTGTGGCATGTGGGATGCCACCTCAGTGTGGCTTGATAAGTGATACCACGTCTGTGCCCTGGATTCAAACTGACAAAACACTGGGCCGCCTGCAGCAGAGCGCACGAACTTAACCACTTAGCCACGGCGCGGCCCCTCAATTATCTATTTAAAGACTCTATCTCCAAATGTAGTCACATTCTGAGGGATCAGGATTACTACTTCCATACGTGAATTTGGGGGGGATGCAATTCAGCCCATAACAGGAGCCCTTTATCAGCATGAGGAATTTCCTTTCTGTGCTTAGTTTGTTGAGAATTTTCATAAAGAATAGGTTTGAGATTTTATCAAATGCTTTTTCTACATCTTTGAGATGATAACGTGGTTTTTTTTCCTTTGTTCTCTTAATATGTTCTATTACATTAATTGATTTTTAAATGTTAAACCAACGTTGCATTCCTGGAATAAATCCTAACTGGTCATGGCGTTTAATCCTTTTTGTATGTTGCTAGTCTGGACCCAGCAGGAAATATCATGTAAACCAGGGTGCAATGCCCTGGTTAGGAAGTCCAACAGAGGTTATCATCCCTGCTTTACACCACTGGACACCGAGGCCCAGGGGTGGAAGTGACAGTCCCAGGGTCACACAGAGCACCTGGTTAGAACCTAGGCCTTCAGATGTCTCCTCCGGTGTTTTACTTGCTGGCTCCTCCTCTTCTGACTCCTGAGGCAGGACTTGCCGTGGCCTCTACTTGTAGTGAGCCAGTGCCCCTCAAAAGTTGCTCCACCTTGGGCCCCAAAATATTTTTTTCCTCCTGCCTGTCTCCAGTGCCTGGCATTGTGCTACATAGGAGAACTAGCCGCATTTATTTTCAACGTCCAGGAGCAGGAACTGGGTCTTTTGTTACCTGGTATAGAGCAGGGCTATGGGAATTGAACTCAAAGGACCAGGATGTGAATTAAAGCCGATCTGCACCACTGTCTCAGAATGTGAAGACAGACCTCGGATTAGCTGGGACACTCCATGTGCTTGCCGGGTGAGCTGAGGCGAGTTCCTTAGACACACTGAGCCCAGCTTCCTTATCTACGACATGAGCACCGCATCTGCTATGCAGGATTGTTGCAACAATTAAATGAACTCACATATGTAAACATGCTTTGTAAGCTCTATAGAAAAAGACTGCTATTATTAAGCGTTGCTGGGATCCAGACAGGGTGAATTTGAGGTTGCCTGGTCATCCCTTTGAGGGAGAAGAAACACTTGATGCCCTAGGTATTATGGGGGGACATACAACCCCAGGCTGGCTTAGAGGTCCTTGTGCCTGGCCCTGCCCCCACACCCCAATACCCATGATGAGTTCCATGGTCCATCATGTTTCCCCTGGGAAAGCCAAGTCCACTTGCATCTCAGCAGAGCTTCCAGGGAGCTGACACCTGGCTCTGAGAGGGTGCTGGCCCAGGGGTCAGAGGTCACACAAACTCCAGAAAGAGGAAGTAGGTGGCTTGCAAGGCTGTCCTTTGGGATGGCTGAATAACCTGTGATCTGCCCTGAAGGGAATGTGGGCATTTAGCTATGGCCTACAGGACAGCCATTTATTTTCTAAAAAATGAGAGCCACAGGACAGAGCTGCTTCAACTTATCCTGGTGGGATTGTGTGGGCCGCGGCCAGGCCCCGGAGCATCATGGCAATTCACTGCCCTCCTGCTACAACGGCTGTTTGTCTAGAGGCTGACTTGTTCCCAGCAGGACTCGAGTCAGCCAAGGGCATCACGTGCTCTCCTCCCCACTGGCTCGCCTTGCCCTCTCCTGGCCTCCAGTCACGTGGGTGTGTGTGTGTGCGGGGGGCACCAGGGCTGGGGCCCAGCCCCCTACACTGCCCAGACTGTCCTAAGTCACCCTTTTCCTCCCACAGGTGCAGTCCCAGCCCACTCCCCTACAAACCCACCGGTCGCACCTGTCTGGTGTGTGGTTACCACCTGCCTATGTTTAATTCATGGATGGGGGTTGGGAGGAACTTCCCAAGAAAAGAAAGAATTCCCCTGGGTCTTGCCCAGTCCCTGCCCACCCGCAGGGCACATAGCATGAGCCAGGGCCTGGGGCTGGGAGTGGAAGCTGCCAATGGGCCCGGAGGACACTGTCCCAGCCTGGGCACAGCCATCATTCGTTAATCCACAGCACTGGAATGTCTGCGGGCCAATCAGGGGGTCTCCAAGGGCTCCCCAAGGGCTGTAATAATCCTGCAATGATTAGCAGAGGCCACAGGGTCAGTGCACACTGCTGGGTAGGTTGGTCGGCTGTCGGCGGGGAGGGCTGGCCAGGCCAGTGGCCAGAGGAGGGTGGGAGCCTCGGGACTGGAGCTAACTGTCTGTCCCTTTTCATGCCAGCGTCAAAGGGAGGCTGTTTGGACACACCGATTACTCACAACCTCCCCCTTTTGTCTGCCAGCCCAGCCTGACTCCTGGAGTTTGTGAATAGCTCCATCCAGCCTGGGAAGCGAGCTGGACAGAGCTGGACGGCTGAGCCAGGCCGCACCGGGGATACCAACAGGCCCATGCTGCTGTCAGAGCCCACTGCTGGGATGGGGGGCTGCCGGCCTGGCCTCCTGCCCATGCTTCTGGCTCTCCTCCGCATCGCCTGGGCAGAGATGCAGTCACTCCAGCTGCGGGAAGAGCAGGCTCCGATGCCTGGAGGTAAGGAGCACCTGGGCGAGGAAAGAGGTGGAGGAGCTATGAGCTCTACAGAGGAGTGCTGGGGGATTTCTGGAAGCCAGTTCCCAGGCCTGAGTCCTGGGCAAGCTGGTGTGGTTTAAAGAGCGACCCTCAGACAGTCCAGGGGCCCTAGACAGATGGGGGAGGCTGGGGAGAGGAAGAATGAAGGGGAGTGGGCCCAGGCCTGGGGATCAAGGAGGAATACTGGCCCGGAGCCTGCAGCTTGGGCCCCAGGAGAGACTCAGTGGCTGAGAGGAGCCCCAGCCAGGGGGCTGCTGCCAACCCAGGGCTGGTTCCCTCCTCACGCTCAGCCCCCGGCCGCTGTTTCCTTCTATCACCCTCACCCCCAGCTCTCAGCCCAAGCACTCTATATCTCAGTCTCTCTCCAACCCCTACTCCTTTCTCTACCTCTCGGTGCCCCCAGCCCTCTGCTCCTGGCCCTTCCACACACACCCACCATCCTCCTGTCCCATCCTAGGTCTTGTTTCCCAAGGGCAGGGCTGCACTCTCCTGTTGCCATAGTGACCCCCACCCATCACCTGGGGTTGCCCAGGTCCTGCTGCTCAGGCAGCCTGACCTTATCCCTGCCCCAGCCCTGAGCAGGAAGGAGAGTTTCCTGCTCCTCTCCCTGCACAACCGCCTGCGCAGCCGGGTCCACCCCCCTGCAGCCAACATGCAGAGAATGGTGAGTACCCAGGGTCGCTGAGGGGTGGCTGGAGGGGCAACCCCAAAGAGGACTCAGGAGGCTGCGGCGGGGGCAGGAGTCCTTCCTCCTGGACAGGGCAGGAGGGACAGCCAGTCACCTTGCCCAGTGAGGGGATGTGCATAGTTGCTGGGGGCTCCACAGCTTTCTGCTCCTCAGAGGGGCAGTCCTTTGGCTTTTCCTCGAATCCCATCCCGTTGTCCTGGAGACCAGGAGACATGGAAGGAGCCAGCAGGAAAGAGGAGCTTCACAAAGGAATCCCAGCAGGATTGGAGGGGCAGGGGACTGGGAGGGGGGCCGGGGCTTGTGTGTGACCAGGACCCAGTGCTTCTCCATGGGTTTGTCTGGGCAACTAGGAGGGGCCCCTCCAAGTTCCCTGCTCATTCACTGGGGCCCAGGGAGGGGCGTAGGGTTTTCCACCACTCCCATTGCGGCTGCGGGGTTGGAGGTATCATCCTGGGGCCCAGAAATGCTGCCCCCATAGTGTGGGATCCTAGCTGCCCCAGCCCATGTTAACAGGCCAGGGAATGAGGGCGGATGGGGCGGGGGCGGGCAGGGTTCCCCATGGCTGCCTCCCATAAACTCCTCTGAGGCTTGTGTAGCGATGGCGACCTTGAGCGCTCAGGGGTCAGTTTCCCAGGAGGTGGGGGTGGGGCGGGCAGGCAGGTGGGGGTCGCCTCTCTCCCTTTTCCCCCCTCTGCAGCAGCTCTGCTCCTCCTCTGGCCCAGGTCCCGGCTCCCACTCGCCACTCGCCACACACCCAGCCCTAGAGTCTGGTGTGGGGCACTCCTCATCAGCTGGTCAGCAGTCTCTACACTGTTCATGGCCCTTTTGCCAAGTCTTAGAAAACTGTGTTTCATAAAAGATGCAAGCAGAGCCCCAACCCTCAGCCTCCCTCACACCCACGGCTTTGGCTCTACAGACCCCTGCGGGCCTCTGGGGCTTTTACCCAGAAGAGGCTGAGGCCCTTGGCATGGGGTTGCCGAGGGGCCCCGGGCAGTCCCCACTGCCCTCATCAGAGGCAAAACCACAACCAGCATCTGCTGGAGGCCTGCTGTGCATCAGCCCTGAGCACAGGGCTTTCCTCTCTGCATCCATTTAACCCTCATGACAATTTTATCCGATATGTAACTTATTGGCCGCATTTTACAGATGAGGACGTTGGGTCTCATGGAGGTTGGGGACTGCTGGAGGTCACACAGCTGGAATGAGGTGGCTGGACTCGACCAGGGCATGGTCACGGGGGAACACGTGCCATTCTGACTGCCCAGCCCCTCATTTCAGGGGAGGGAGGACTATTGGGTGGGGGTGATGGAGGAGGTCAGCCAGTGCATGGGTGGGCCAGCTCCAGGGGGCCACAGCACAGAGGCCCAAGAGCCCCCTCACACCCCCTGTGGTCCTGTTTCCCTGTTCATGCCCCTACACTCCAAGGCCAGGGAATAGACACAGCGACAAGGCTGCTGCGGCTTTTTGCATAGAAGAAGAGAAGCTAAGTGGAGCAATTTCTGACAATGGCCAGGGCTAGTTGTACCTAATGGAGAACACAGAACCAGTTTGAAAGGCTTGGGCACTGCCCAAGGCTCACATTACCAGATGGGAAAAATTACAGCTGAAGCCCATCCCATCGCCTGGGCTGCCAGTACTCCTCAGGAACACCTGTCCCCCTGGGCGAGGGCTGCCCTGGGAAGGGCCTGAGGCTGCCCACCCAGGAGTCGGGAGGATGGGGACTCTCAGTCTTGGGCAGAGCCAGCCTCTGGGGCAGGAGTGCAGACACTGCAGGAGCTTTTTCCAACACACCTTGGAGAGCTTCTTGCAAGTCCTGTCTGACCTTCCCTGGCCCTGGTGAAGTGGGTGGAATCAGCTCAGAGAGGTTAGGCGGCCAAGCAGGACTCCCGGTCCAGTGCTCTTTGCATGATCCAGCACCCAGTGGGGGAATGGGATCACTGAGGCCTGGCCTAGAGGTCCTCTACTGCTGTCTCTGTTTGTGCCACCCCAGGACTGGAGCGAGAGCCTGGCCCAATGGGCTCAGGCCAGGGCGGCCCTCTGCGGTGCCCCGGCCGCAAGCCCAGTGTCTGCCTCTGGGGCCACCCCGCAATTGGGCTGGAATGTGCAGCTGCTGCCTGTGGGCTCGGCATCCTTCATCCACGTGGTGGGCTTGTGGTTCGCAGAGGGGCAGCAGTACAGCTACGCGGCAGCGGAGTGTGACCCCAATGCCACCTGCACACACTACACTCAGGTGAGACCAGGGTACCAGATGCCAGGCCCCTGGGCTCCTGGAGTCAGCTCAGAGGGCTACAGTTTGTCCTAAAATTGGTGGTTGCTTTTTCTCCAATTTGTTTAGTTTTCTGTTTTTCAGCTTTAAATATAAAATATTTTTAAAGTAAATCAAGTAATGGCTCCCTCTTACCCCACTACCTAGATTTAGAAAATGTTAACTTTGTTTCTCATCTCTTTTTAAAAAACCCAAACAACGAAGCTAAACTCAAGCCCTACTTGTGCCCTTTCTTCTGTTCCTCCCCAGAGTAACATTCCTGAAGTCCTGAAGTCCAGGTGGATCACTCCCAAGCATGTTCCCCCCCTTTTATTTTCACTCAACAAACATTTGTTGAGTGTCTTCTATATACCTGGCATTGTTTAGGTGCCGGGCTACAGCACTGAAGAATACAGGCAAAATCCCAAGCGTGTTTTAATACCTCTAGTACACGTGGAAGTGTTCTCATACCTTTTCTGTGTGTGAAGGTGGGTTGTGTGTTATTAAATCCCACACAAGTGCTCTCTCTCATGTCTCCTTTTGCATTTGTGTTTATCACTCCAGACCAGGTATGTAAGATTTATTTCTGTTGATCCAGATACCCATGGGTGAGTGATTCATTATGAATAAGCTGCAATTTATGGGCATCTAGGTTATTTCTACTTTTTTACTATTACATGTCATACCGCAACCGCAAATCCTAGTTCAGGTCCTCTTGTCATACGTGTCCAGAGTTTCTCTAGGACACACTTGGAAGGGTAATGGCTGGGTCGTCGAGAGCCACATGGAGACCTACAACATTACTAGCTATTGCCGGAGTGATGGCACCAACTTTCCCTGTGTTGTCGAGTTCCTTATAATTTTTCCAACTCCAGGCTGTGAAATGCCACCTCATTCTGTTTGGGTTTTTTTTTAGGAAGGTTGGCCCTGAGCTAACATGCCCTGAGCTAATATCTGTGCCCATCTTCCTCTACTTTAAATGTGGGACACCAGCACAACATGGCTTGATAAGCGGTGCTAGGTCCACACCCAGGATGTGAACCGGCAAACTCTGGGCCACAGAAGCGGAGCATGAGAACTTAACCATTATGCCGTCGGGCCAGCCCCCACTCATTCTGTTTTTAATTTGCATTTCCCTGATTACCTATGAGACTGAGCATATTTTCTTAATTGCCTGTTGATTGTGTCTTTTCCTTATTAATTTGTAAGCATCCTTCCTATATTTCTTATACTTTTTCTTGGTCATCTGGATAGCAAATACCTTTTTCTAGCATATGGCTTGTATTTTTTCTTTATGCTATCTTTTATAAGATAAATCTTTTAGAAGATTTTAATATTAATGGAATCCATTTTATCGGGTTTTTTCTTTATAGTTCATCCGTTTGTTGTCTTATGTTTAAGAAATCATTTTCTACTCTGACATTGGAAGGAGAGTCCTCCTGTATTTTATTCCAAGGTTTAAATGTTTTCCTTTTTCATACTGAAGTCATTAAGCCACCTGGAATTTTTTGTGCTTGGTGTGACGTAGGATTTCTCTTGTTCCACATGGACACTCTTTATTGAGTGTTGAATCTTTCCTCCACTGACTCATAATGCCACCTCAGCCATGTACCGAGCTCACATATCCATACAGGTCTGTTGCTGAGTTCTCTGTTCTATTCTGTTGATCTTTCTGTTCATCCCTGCACAAATTGTGTTTTAATTATTATGATTTTATAAAAACTTTTGACAGGAAAATCTCTCATATTATTATTATTGTTCAAAACTTTCTTGGCTATTCTTGGCTCCTGATTCTTTTATATGAATTTAATAGATAGCCTTTATCAGGTTATAGACATTTCTTTCTAATCCAAGTTTGTCAAGGATTTTAAAAATCATGAATAGGTCTTGTGTTTTATTAAATGCTTTTTCTGCATCTTTTGAAATAATCATATGGTTTTTCCATAATTACTAAAGTGGTGACAAATTTGTGTGTGTGTGTGTGTACAAAGCTGTTACATGACACTGGATCTTCCTGGTCACATATTTTAAACATTTTATTATAGAAGATTTCAAACATATACAAAGCAATCAGAATCATTGAATGAATCCCCATGTACCCATCACCCACCGTCAACAATTATCCGCTCATGGCTTCATAGCTCATCTTATTTGATCTGTATCCTTACCTATTTCCCTTTCCTCCTATATTATTTTTAAGCAAATTTCAGACATCATATAATTTTATCCATAAGTACGTATATATCTCCAAAAGTTTGCTCTTTTTAAAAAACGTAATCAGAATACCAACATCAATATATATTTTTAAATATTAACTCCTCCTTGCCTTCCTACGTGCAGGGCAGGCTGTAATTTATCTATGCACCATATGCTATAAGTTATTCAAATGCTAAAATACTTACATATTAGTAAACAGTATGCTACCCCAAGTCCCCAGAATGTACCTGGCCTAGCCTCTTCCCTGGGACACCTAGGATCTTTCCTATGATCTAGAACCAAAAGGTGAAGGCCTGGCACTGTAGTGGGTATCCAGGATCCTGCTCCAGCCCGGCATCTGGTCTTATTGGCAAGCACCCATGCCTACTGGTTGTTAAATATTTTGAATATCTACCTACTTGACATGTCATGTCATGTGAAATAATGTGATGCGGTGTGTGCGCATGTGTGTGTTGTTGTTGTTAATTCATTGCTGGATTTGGTTTGCTAAATATTATTATTATTTTTATTTTGGTGAGGAAGATTGGCCTTGAGTTAATATCTGTTGCCAATCTTTCCCTTTTTGCTTGAGGAAGAGTGTCCCTGAGGTAACACCTGTGCTAGTCTTCTTCTATTTTGTATGTGGGACGCTTCCACAGCACGGCTTTATCAGTGGTGTGTAGGTCTGCACCTGGGATCCAAACCTGCGAACCCTATGCTGCCAAAGAGGAGTGCACAAACTTAACCACTACAACACTGGGCCAGCCCGCTAAATATTATTTGATAGTGAAATTGACCTCTGATTTTCTTTTCTCATACTGCCCTAACTTGAGTTATAGTGATGCTATATTGACCTCACAAAGTGAGTTGGAAGCTTTCCTCCTTTTCTAATTCCTAGAATAATTTCTATAATATTTGCTATAACTCTCCACTAAAACTATTTGGGCATTGTTCTATTTTTGGGTTGTTTGTTTTTTGTGTGGATGTGGATGTATGCATGGATTTTTTAAAAAAATTTTATTTTTCTTTTTTCTCCCCAAAGCCCTCCGGTACATAGTCGTGTATTTTTAGTTGTGGGTCCTTCCAGTTGTAGCATGTGGGATGCCGCCTCAGCATGGCCTGATGAGCAGTGCCATGTCCACACCCAGGATCTGACCCGGTGAAACCCTGGGCCACCTGCAGCGGAGTGTGTGAACTTAACCACTTGGCCACGGGGCCGGCCCCCTTTACATGGATTTTTAACTACTGATTCAACTTTTAGAAATGGTCATAGGTCATTTCAGATTTTCTGTTTCTTCTTGAGACAGTTTTGCCAAGCTTCTATTTTCCAGGAAATTCTCCCTTTTATATTTTTCAATTTATTGGTCATGATTGTTCTTTTTTTTATTTGTTGCAAAGTTTATTTTATGAGTTAATTATAAATAGAATAGCCCATGCATAGTCTTTCAGATTCTGAAAAATGAATTGGTAAAAAAAAGGGTTGGTGGCTTGTTTTTCATTAACATTCAATTACAAATGTAATATAAGCTCCTGAATCTATACAAAAAAATGCCAGGTAGACGGTGACAGTGAGAAAACTTAAACTTTATAATTGTTAATTATTTAACAGAGATGTAAAACTAGAATTAAACAGATTTTAAAAATACTTACTGTGTCGGTAGCTATGTCCTTTTAAAATTCCCAACTTTATTTGTACCTTCTCTCTTTTATTCTTTATCAATCTTCCCAAAGGTTTGTCTATTTTAACAAATTAACTTTTTGTTTGTTTTTACCCTTTTTATTAATTTCTGCTCTTATTTTTATTACTTTCTTCTCCTTTATTTGGTTTATTTTATTATTCTTTTTTATATTCTTGGTATGGGTTCTCAGCTCATTAATTTTGTCTTTTTTCATTTCTGTTCTATGCCTTTAAAGCTATACATTTCCCTCTAAACTTTGTTGGCTGCATCCCATAAGTTTTGATATTTAGTGTTTTCATTGTCATTTAGTCCAAGTGTTTTCTATTTTTCATCATGATGTTGTCTTTGATTTTGAAGTGTATATTTACGTTTCTAAACTATGCTTTCTCCTTTACTTACTTCTAAATTATTTACTTTAGATTTTATTGCATTGAATTCATAGAATGTGGCCTCTAGGATATCGGTTCTTTGATATCTGGTGAATCTTGCTTTATGGTTTAGTGAACCACAGGATCAACATTTGCAAAAGTTCCATGCACTCCTAAAAAGAATGTATATTCTCTAATTGGTAGATACCTATATATGACTACATGTTCATATCTGCCTACCTCATACTTGTCATTTTTAGTGGTTACCAGAGTTTACCTAGCCATTCCTGTGTATTTACCATTTCTACTGTTTCCAAGTTGTCATGGATTCTAAGACTTTAAATACAAGTTTGAATACTGTTAAAGACCTATATCTGTGAGGTTTTGCTGCATGACACACTACCTCCAAATTTAGCATCTTACAACTCTGCAGGTTGGCAATTTGGGTTGGGCTCAGCTGGGAGGTTCTTCTGGTCTTGGCTAGGCTGACTTGTGCAACTACAATCAGCTGCTGGGTTGCATGGTTGGCATGGGCTCAGCTGGCTCATCTCTGCCTTATGAGCTCTTTCAACCTCCAGCGGGCTTCTTCATGTGGTGGCTGAGCATGAGAGTTCTATGAGAGTGAGTGATCATTGCAAGGTCTCCTGAGGCTTAGTTTCAAAACCAGCTTAGTATCACTTGTGCTTTATTCTGTTGGCCAATGCAAGTCACAGGGCCAGCCAGGTTCAAAATGTGGGAAAGAGAGTCCTCCTCCTGATGCAAAGAAATGCAAAGCCACATTTAAAAGAGGGGGCCATAGGGAGAAGTGAAGGGTTGTATCCATTTTTGCAATCCATCACAAGACCTTTGATGTCCAAGACTTGCTTTTGCCACTCTCCTCCACCCATCCACAATCTCCCCTCCCTTCAGGTATCTGCTAACCCTCACTCCGCACCTAGAAAGCTTTTCTAGACTATTCCCGCCCATCCTCATAGCCCTGCCTAGCACAGCTGCAGCTCCTGAGGCCCCAGGGGGGTGAGGGAGCTGTCAGTCTGCCTGGTTTGGGGCAAAAGCTGTGTCTCCCCTCCCCAGGCGAGCATCATCTGTGCTGCTGGCCCCTAGACTGGGAGTGGGGGTGGCCTGTGATAGAGTTTCTGAGCCACTGTGTCTCCCGCAGCTCGTGTGGGCCACCTCGAGCCAGCTGGGCTGTGGGCAGCATCCCTGCTCTGGGGCTCAGGCTGAGCTGGAAGCCTTTGTCTGTGCCTACTCTCCCGGGTAAGCCCCCACCGCAGCAGCTTCCCTGCCATCCCCTGCTGGGGTCGGGGGGGGACACTTTCACCAGGTGAGATGCCCATCCACCCACCCAAAAGGCCTTTACCCCTTGGTCTGCACCTTGGTCTGTACCTTGGAAGAGGGAAGAAGGGGGAAAGGGAGAGGGTACAGAAGTGGGCAGCATCTACCGTTCTGGCCATGCAGAATGTGGCTTCTCCTCAGATATCCTTCCGGGAGGCGCTATCCTGCTTCCGGGGAATTTGCCAGTATGAGTTTGGAGGTCATCTTTTCTTTCCTAGGAAATCTCCCTGTCTCACCCAGCTCCCTGACTCCCTGGCTGGGCCAGAAGGAGCTGAAGGGGCCACTGGGGCAGGCAGCAAGGCCCGTTCCTGCCTTGCCCAGGGCCAGGCCCTTCCAGCCCTCTGGTGCTTGCTCTCACAGAGGCAACTGGGAGGTAAACGGGAAGACAATCGTCCCCTACAAGAAGGGCGCCTGGTGTTCACTCTGCACAGCCAGCGTCCCGGGCTGCTTCAAAGCCTGGGACCACGCGGGCGGGCTCTGTGGTAAGTGCCCCATGCTGCTGCCTCCTCCTGGAGCATGGGGTGCATGAGAACTTGATCTAGTGACCTTGGAGGAGGGTGGCAGCATCCTGAGGGGCTATCCTGGAAGCCCTGGGCCTCAGCACCCAGAGAGGCACCTGCCTGGAGAAGGCCCCCTCTAAGAGTTCCCTCCTCATCTAACCAGAGGTCCCCAGGAACCCATGTCGCATGAGCTGCCGGAACCATGGTCATCTCAACGTCAGCACCTGTCACTGCCACTGTCCCCCTGGCTACACGGGCAGATACTGCCAAGGTGAGGGGCACCTGGAATTCCAGACCACAGCTGCCTGGGGGACCCAGTGAGTGAAGTCTGGGCCCAGCGCACACGCAGGCGCCCCGGGGGGTGAGGAGGTACTAAGCTGGGATGCTCGCACACATGCTCATGTGGTGTGTCCAGGGACTGCACTACACTCACTGAGAGGGTTTTGAAGGAGTCTTGAGTGAGTTAGAGGGTGCTGACCATGTATTTGCTGATCTGCACACTACATATAGTCATTCAACAAGCGTTCATTGGGCACCGACTATCTGCCAGATCCAGAGCTGTGCAGGAGATTCAAAGTGGAATCAGATTTGGCCCCTTAGGCTCTGAGGTGGTGGGAGGAGGACAAAATTAGGATCCAGAAGTGGATTCTTGTCCCACTGTCCCCACTCCCCAGCTCTGTGTCCATGGACAGATTGCCTTCCAAACCCGAATTTGCTCCTCTCTACAATGAGATCAAACCAAAGACACCAAGGGTGGCAGCGGTGGAAGGCCTGATGGGTTCCATCCCTGAGAGGGATGTTCTTGCCTTGGTTGGCCATTCCCCATGCATCTGTGGCCTGCGAGGGGCAGCATGGGGTCCAGGGAATGTGGGCTGAGCGCCATCCCCTCTTGCCCCATCCTGGCAGTGCGGTGCAGCGTGCAGTGTGTGCATGGCCGGTTCCGGGAGGAGGAGTGCTCCTGCATCTGTGATGTTGGCTACGGGGGAGCCCAGTGTGCCAGTGAGTCCTGCCCCTAGGCCCCTGAAGGGTCAGGCTCCTCCCAGACTCTCTCGGTGGAGTGCTGGATCCAACTCATACCAGCTCACAGGAGCCCACTGCCCACATCTCTTCCCCATTCAGTGACATCACATCGGCAGCTTGAAATTGGCCATGGTGGGGTATTTACACCACAGAAATTGGCAAATGCTACACATCGTAGATTTTTTCTTAGAGCGAGAGCTGGTTGTTACCCATTTTCCAGTACACCACTGACCCCCACCCACTCTCCAGCTTAGAGCGGATAGCCAGAGGAAGGGGCACCTTGAGCTTAGCTTCCTGGCAGGGCAGAAGGGGTAACGATTCTGAGGTCCCCACACATGAACTCAGGCTCCCCTCCCCCAGCCAAGGTGCACTTTCCCTTCCACACCTGTGACCTGAGGATTGATGGAGACTGCTTCATGGTGTCTTCGGAGGCAGACACCTATTATGGAGCCAAGATGAAATGCCAGGTGACGGTCAATCCCTGACTTCCCAGGGACCCCCCAGAGTCTCAAGCGAGGGTCTTAATGGAGGGACCCTGGACTAAGAGATGGTTCCCTCGACTTCTCTTGACCTGACTCTCATCATTAGTATAAACCAGGAGTCACAAACTCAGAGGCCCATGGAAGCCTGGAGGTCACTTAATGAGCTAAAGGACCCAGGGATGAGGACCCACCCAACCCCCCTCTAAAGGGCCATCTTAAGTCAGTGCCAGCTGCAGGCTGCCAGACAGGAATACGAGTTCAGGGAGGCCAGAACTTAGGATTTTTCAAGAGAATCGGAAATTCAGATTTTCATTGGCATCTTGGGATTTATTAACGTCAACAACCAATTCAAATGTATTTAAGACACTGAGCAGATGAAACAAAACCGTTCTGAGGCCAGCCTGGGCCCCTGCGCACAGAGAGAGGAGAGGCAGGCAGGGGAGAGGAAGGGGTCCCCTACTCTAAGAGGCAGGAGGCCGTGGTGGGGGTGATGACGACAGCCTGGCCAGCACACAGATCTGACATCCATGACCACGGTAGGGTGGCAGGCTGGGCAGGAAGGGCTGGCCTCAGCTCTGGGGCCCTGCCAGCATGACCCAGAGTGGGGGTTACAGGGAAAGGGCGGGGTGCTAGCCCAGATTGAGAGCCAGAAAGTGCAGGACATCCTCGCCTTCTACCTGGGCCGCCTGGAGACCACCAACGAGGTGACCGACAGTGACTTTGAGACCAGGAACTTCTGGATCGGTGAGTGCCTGACTGGCTGGGGGTGCAGTGACTGCAGGGGCTGGGATACCCCACTCTGCTCCAGGAATTGGGGCCTTGGAAACCCAGAGCACCACAGGAAGGGTGTATGTGGTGAGGGCTTGGAGCCCAGAACGGGGTCAGTAGTCAGGAGGTGACCCCCTTCCCTGGGAAGAGAGCTGAGGGGAGGGAGAACCGCCAGCGAGTCTGGAAGAGCTAGGAAGGGGGCTAAGGGCTGGGGGCTGGGCAGGCATTAAGCAGGGAGCCTGGGCTCTGGGTGCGGCCCAGGGATCCCCAGTAGTGGGGCCAAACTTGGCTGCTGTGGCCCAGGGCTCACCTACAAGACCACTAAGGACTCCTTCCGCTGGACCACTGGGGAGCACCAGTCCTTCACCAGTTTTGCCTTCGGGCAGCCTGACAACCAGGGGTGAGTCTGGGGTGCCTTCCCTCCCAAGCCCACCTTCTCACCCGGGCCTGTTGCTGAGCCTCCCAACAGCACTGAAGAACCACCACCCGGCCTGCTGCCTGGCTGAGCCCTCTGAGGGTCTGGGCCTTCCCTGGTGCCCAAGAAGTCCGGGCACAGCTGGGTGCAGGCACAGTGCTGAGAAGAGGCTCATCCTTGGCCTCCATGTAAAAGAGAGAGAACTCAAGAAGGCTTCGTCCGTGCACCGGTCCCCATCGTCCCCTCAGCTGTTCCTCCTCTCCTCCACCAGCCATCCACCCCTCCCCCCACCACGCTCCCTCTGTCTGTATCAATACACTGATTCTGGCATCCATTATTTAGCTATTCGCCCACCTGCACCCATTCACACACACATCCACCCACCAGCCAGCCTGTATTGAGGCCCTTCTGTTTATGTGGCCCTGCCCTGGTCTTCAATACCCAGGAATGCCCAGGGCAGGAGTGACAGGGCTGAAGGTAGTCAGGCTGTGTGGCCACCAAGGGCTCCAAAGACCTCGCCTAGCCCTCCCCCTCCTTGACAGCAGCCAGGCCTATGTCCCTGGTCCATCACCTAGAGGAAGTTGGCCTGGTCAGGTTCCCAGGCACACCTTCTCCCAGCTGGGAGGCAGAACGGACATGGGCTTGTCTGTTCCAGGTCCCCCCACCTCATTGACTGGTGTGGCTGAGTGCTGGAGGTGGGTAGGTGGAGTTGCTACCCCAGTAGGGGGTTTGCCAAGGCCTCCCAGCTTCCCTGAGAAGAGCTGCAGTGGTCTGGGGAGCAGGCGTGGGTCCTGGAGTGGGGGTGGTCTGGCTCCCAGAAGCCCCATGTGCAGGATGGGGGCACATAGGCCTCTTAGAGGCAGGGAGCCTGCTGGGTGGAGGATTTAAGCCTCCCCAAAATTCCTAATTTCATTCCTTTACCCTGAGCACCTGCCATTCGGGCCCTGGCAGGTTTGGCAACTGCGTGGAGCTGCAGGCCTCGGCCGCCTTCAACTGGAACGACCAACGCTGTAAAACCCGAAATCGTTACATCTGCCAGTTTGGTGAGGTCCCTCCCATGGCTCCCCTCCTCTGGTCCCTGTCCCCTGGGGTACCCACTGGCCCACTCCAGGTGCTAGGATATCCAGGTCACAGGCCAGAGAGTGTCTGAGCACACAGGGCACCAAGGATGTCCTGCTCAGGGCCTTGTTGTACCTTCGGGCACCTGAGGCCCAGAGGAGGACAGATGGGCCCAGCTTCACATAGCATGTCCACGCAGTGACAGGAACAGAACTATAGCTGGCCAGGGATTTCTCCAAGGTCTCTTTCCTCCTGTCACTAAAGCCACTACTTGGGGAACTGTCGGGTTCCCCAGTGTCCCTGATTCCCCAAAGCCCCATGAACTAAGGTGGGGGCAGAGGTGAAACCTGGCCCAGAACCAGCTTCCAGCAGTACCTGCTGGCAGGGTCTGGAGCTCCACGAGGGACCGTGGCCATGGGCACTTCTGAACCAAGTGCAGCAGGGTCCCCATCCCAGGACTGCCTGGGCTGCCACTGTGCCTCACGCTCTTATGCTTCCTTTCCAGCTCAGGAGCACATTTCCCGGTGGGACCCGGGGCCCTGAGGGTCGACCAGACATCTCCCCTGCCAGACCCTGCTTGCTTGTCTGCCCACCTTTCTGGAACAAGGGCCAGTCCAGGACTACAAGCCCAACATCCAAAGAGTCTTAGATCTTACAGGAAGTGGAGCAGGGGGTACAAGTGAGGCCAATAGGGAGCCTGGCACAGGGAGAGGGGAGCCTGGGGCTGCTCAGCCTGCTGTTGATTGGGAAGATGGGCCTCAATTAGGTGCCAAGGCAGAAGCCAGGGCCAGTCGTCAGAAAGGACCAGTCTCCTCCATCTGGGCCGGACCCTCTGTGGCAGACGGAGGTTCCTTGCTGCCCAGGATGCACCCCACAAGGGATTAAACTAAGTTATGAATCAGCCAGACTTGAGAACGCTCATTTTGAAAGGGAATTCAGACAACCCTGGATGATCCTAGGACCCAGAGGGAACCTGAGATTTCACTGCTGGTGTCTCCTACCCACCCTAGTCCCTTCACTGGTCACCCACGTAGCCCAGACCCCCTCTGTAAGTTTTCAAGTTCCCCAGTGGGGTAGGAGGCCAGCCTCCCTGCCTCAGTGACGGGTCTTTTTTTCTAGCAACTCCCAGAGCTAGGACCCAGGAAGACGGGGTAGAAACCACTCTGAGCTCCTGTGTGTGTCTGTGTGTTGTCTGCCCTGGTGGAGTACTTTCACAAATGCAGGACTGACAGTGGAATCAGAATCTGGAAAGTACCATCCCCTTGCCCAGCTCCTCGAACATCACAGCTCATCATAGCTCACACTTACACGTCAGGCACTGCAATTAACACGACGTCGAGTAACTCATTTAAACCCTCACACATCCTGATTTTATACTGAAGAAATGGAGTCACAGAGAGGTTGAGTAAGTTGCCCAAGGTCACACAGCTGGGAATCAAACCCAGCCAGTGTAGCTATCATTTAACCTTTCTATTTTCTTTTGGTGGTTCAGCCTGTTTCATTGCAGGAGTGGGGAAAGCTCTCTTGTGCCCTGGCTCAGAGCACAGGAACGCGCAGGAAGTTTACACACATATCCCCAACTGTCTCAACCACCCAGCAAAGGCAGCCGTAGTTGGGGGGTGGCGGGGGCCAGTCACAGCAGGACCAAGCCCCAGACCACTACCCAGAAATTTGCCCAAGGTCACCTGCAAGGGCCAGGCCTCACACTTTCTGGGCTGGCTTGCCCACTGCACTCACTGCGTCGTGGGAGGTGGGAGGTGGGAGGCATCACCCGTCCCCCTCCCCTCTCTTCCTTGATCCTGTCGGGCAGAGACTGCAATCCGGCCACAAGCTTCTCTTCGGGGCACGGCCACTCGGCAGGAGCCATGGACGCCCGCGCCGTGAGACGTGGCCCTATGCCCCAGCGGCTCCTACCCCAGCGCCCTGCCCAAGTGCGCGCTCAGAGCCCCCTCCCTGCCTTCCCCGCAAGCCACCCCCGCGGCCCACCATCCCTGCAAGCCCACTCTGCAGCTCCCCGGGACGGTCCCCACTCGCTCCAGCTGTGCCTCGCGGGTCACCCGGCCGAAGCCCTTGAGCAGGCCGCCTCGCCTGCGCCCCGTGGCCGCTCAACTGCCCATTTCCCGCGCCTCCTGCCTGCGCCCGCTGCGCTGCCCCCTCCTCATGCCCACTGGGCGATGGCACGCTCCGGGGGCGAGGCGGGGAACCCTGGGCGCCCCGGGCCCGCGCTGGTCCCTCGGTTGCCAGCAGGTGTGTCGGAGACAGGAGTGTGCTTTGCGCGCGCCCGCCAGGGGTGCGAGGCATGGCCAGGGTGCGTGCTGCCAAGGCAGCGGGGAAGTGGGGCCATCGGCTGCAGGGCAGGCCGGGGCAACCGGTCCGAGATCCTCCCACCCAAACCCCGCGGCGTCAGGAGTCAGGTGTGTGTAGGCAGGTGTCACTGGGGACGGGGTCTCCTCCCCTATCCCGGCAGGTGTAGACACTAGGTGCAGGAAGACTGGTCTCCAGGCTCCTTCCTTTGCTGCCTCCTGTAAGGCCACAACCAGGGAAACTGAGGGATGTCTATCGAGTCACCTATGTGGTCGGCATAGCCTGGAGCTTTGGACACCTGAAGGAAGACCCACTGATGGGGCAGGTGAGAAACTTCACGGCGTGAAGAGGCTATGAAAGCTGGGGAGCCATTTGCCTCCTCTGGAGTTCACTGCCCCACTGTTGGCTCACTTGTTTCCCTCTATTTCACAGCTCCCTGCCAGGCAGTGCCTGGGGCAGCCCCAACTCCGTCCATGCTTCCTCCGTTAGTTTTTCATTCGTTCTCTCAGGTACTCCTGGCCCCTGCATCTCCGCATGCCCAGCATTCCTGAGAGAATGTCCACTCTGTGGATCAGAAGGTGTTGACAAAGGAATAGGAGAGTGATTATGATAAAGATTCTTCATCTCCCAGTGGGTCCCTTTAGTGAGTTCTGCAAAACTTACAAGACCTGACGTACAGAATATTTGTTTTTGTAGTTTTATCTTGGGAACTTGTTTTTACTCCATATGGTAAACTCTTCTAAGCCAGGGTGTGTATTTTCCCAAGTCTATAAAAATCCTGGTGCTTCCTTCGTGTATGGGAGGAAGGGATGAGGTCCAACCTAGTTCTTTAATCTGTTTTTTTGAAAGCCCCTACCTGTGTTTAGCTTTCCCCCCAGAAGAAAGAGATAAGTAAGACCAGCTGAGTGCGGCCCAAACTGAGTGGGGGCCAGCTGGCGTCCAGGGACAGAGGGAAAATGTGGAACAAGTAGTCGATGCTTCCAAGGAGAAAGCAAGCCTTCTCCTGAGGTTTTCCCCAGAGCTGGGCAGAGGACTCCCTTGGAATGCCTTCTGGCTCAAGATAGCCTTCTAAAACCTGGTTCCACAAGGCAGAGTTTGTTTTTTGTGGGGTTTTTTAAAGATTTTATCTTTCTTTTTTCTCCCCAAAGCCCCCTGGTACATAGTTGTGTATTTGTAGTTGTGGCATGTGAAACACCGCCTCAGCATGGCCTGATGAGCGGTGCCATGTCCATGCCCAGGATTCGAACCAGCGAAACCCTGGGCGGCCAAAGCGGAGCGCACAAACCCAACCACTCGGCCATGGACCAGCCCTGGCAGAGTCTTCTCTTGTCACAAATGTAGTGGCCTGTAGGTTCTCCAAACATTTTGGCTGCAAATCTCTGTAAAAACTTGAGCATGGGGGCCGGCCCCGTGGCTGAGTGGTTGGGTTCGTGCACTCCACTTCGGTGGCCCAGGGTTTCGCTGGTTTAGATCTAGGGGACAGACATGGCACCACTCATCAAGCCATGCTGAGGCAGCATCCCATATAGCACAACCAGAAGGACCTACAACTAGAATATACAACTATGTATTGGGGGGCTGTGAGGGGGAAGAAGAAAAAAAAGAGAAGATTGGCAACAGGTGTTAGCTCAGGTGCCAATCTTTGGGAAAAAAAACAACAAGTGCTCAAGCAAATCCTTATACACAAAGTTCATAGCAGCACTATTCACAACAGCCAAGAGGTAGAAACAACCCAAATGTCCATCTGTGGATGGATGTACATACAATGAAATATTACTCAGCCCTTAAAAGGAATGAAGTACTGGAGCCGGCCCAGTGGCCCAGCAGTTAAGTTCGCATACTCCCTTCTGCAGCCCAGTGTTTGCCAGTTCAGATCCTGGGCACAGACCTACACCCGGCTCATCAAGCCATGCCGTGGCAGGCATCCCACATATAAAGTGGAGGAAGATGGGCACAGATGTTAGCTCAGGGCCAATCTTCCTCAGCAAAAAGAGGAAGATTGGCAGCAGATGTTAGCTGACGGCTAATCTTCCTTAACAACAACAGAAAGGAATGAAGTACTGATACATTCTACAAAGTGAATGAACCTCAAAAATGTTATTTTAAAGTGAAAGAATCTAGTCACAAAGGGTCAGATATTGTATGATTCGATTTATATGAAATATTCGGAATAGGTAAATCCAGAGAAACGAATGCAGATTGGTGGTTGCCTGGGGCAACAGGAGAACAGTGGACTAACTGCTTAATGGGTAGGGGTTGATAAAATGTTTTGGAATTTAGATAGAGGTGGTGGTTGTGCAACATTGTGGATGTAGCCACTGAATTAGTTAATTTCATGTTATGCGAATTTCACCTCAATTTTTTTTTAAAAAAGGGGCAATGTTGGTCACAGGATCCTGGGGAGAGTCAGAAAGCCAGGCTAGGCCCTGTGCTGCCAGAAACAGTGCCCCAACTCCTGCTGCAAAGCCAGTCTGGGTCCACTCCCGTGCCACTGCTGCCAGGCAGAGGAGCTGCAGAGCGTACTCTCACAGCAGCGATGCTGGAGCCACCTTTGTGGCAACCCCACCTCTGCCGTAGCAACTAACTCTGGCAATCCAGTGCCTTCCAGGCCTCTGATACCCCAGACACCAGATTCCCATTCAGCTGCA